TCTGTGCCTGAAGTTTCTCTTTGACCGCCTGCATTCTCTTGGCCAAAAGCTCCGCCTATTTGTTGGCCTCCTCCTTGTTCTTGTGCACAGCTTCTCCAGGGCAATGGGCCTGCCTTGTGTTGCAGGACGCGCAGAGTCACAAGACGCTGAATCTCGGGTGCTTTGGTCCTGGGTTTCTTGCCTTCTTTGTTCAGGGGTTTTCTCACCACGTACTGGCGGACGTCATCTTCTTTAGAGAGATTGAAGAGTTTGCGGATTCTGCTGGCTCTCTGGGCCCCAGGCGATGAGGCACAGTTGTATCAGTCAGTCCTGGGATCACTTTCTCCCCTTTCTTTACAATAACTGGGTTGAGAACGCTCAAATTGGCATCCACTGTGCAGCCCCAGACAGATTTGAGCTTCCTCTCCCCAGTTCTCCTTGGTCTGTAGCAGGAGTGCCCCTTACTCAGCAGTAGGCAGACAGGGCCGTGGGTCAAGACACTTTGCTTCCTGGGAAAACCTTGCTTGTCATTCCCACCTCTAATGCGGACAACTTAGCCTTTCCATTCAACACCCATCACCTCGGCGGCGACTTCCTTGGCCATTTGCTTCTCATCAAACATGCGAAGTTCCCGTTCATCGTCCACTTCAATGAGTTTTTGGCAGCCAGCATCTGGGAAGGAGATGTTCAGCTTCATGGTGAAGCAGCCGATCACCTCTGCGACACCATGGGAAAAAAGTGGGGCCTTCTATTAAATGATAAGCTATAAGTAGTTATAAATCAGATTTCATATTCTAACCCTACTAGTCCAGAATCCATAAAAACTGGGATTTGATATGTAGTATGCCTATTGAACAGCTTCTTCTGGGTCTTGTGAGGTGAGGCTTCTTAAGAGATACTGGTTTTACAGCATCTTTCAAAGAAAAAGGAAGTGGGAGAAGGGAACTTGCCTCAAGTTCAAAGACCCAGATTCTGGAACCATCACTACTTTTGGTATCTTAGCAACTGACTTACTATCCCTGTTCCTTTCTTACTCCCACAGTAAATTGGCAACAATAGTTTAGAAACCATGAAAATACTTTGAGTTAGTCATGGTAGAATAACTACTCAAACTTACATCATTCCTTTGAGCATATATCCTGGAAAGCACTTTGATCCTGCGTGCAAGGTGGCCTTGAGTGAGCCATATACTCTCAGAAGGGGGTTGAAAATATAGCATCCATAATGTCTGATGAGCTTCTTCCTTTTCCAGGGCACCCCAGCTAATGGAAAAGATATAGAGATGAACAGAAAGGGTGACCTTGGGCTTCCAGGAACTCCAGGATTCCAGGTACTTCTCATCTCTCTTTCTCCTCTCTCCCTTGCTTCCTCTCTCTCCCCTCTGTCTCCTCTCTCTCCGTTCTCTTAAGAACTTTTTAAATAGTCATTTAGTCTATTTATATAGTGGCCTCACTTTATTCTAGATCAGTGGCTCTCAACCATCCTAATGCCACGATCCTTTCATATAGGTCATCATGTTGTGGTGACCCCCCCCACCATAAAATTATTTTTGTTGCTACTTCATAACTCTAATCTTGCTACTGTAATAAATCAGGTGACCCCTGTGAAAGGGTCATTCGACCCCCAAAGGGATTGCGACCCACAGGTTGAGAACTGCTGTTCCAGAGCATTCACTGTATTATAGGAAATCACATGCTGTCAACATACAAAGAAGATTTATTGCTTTAAATTGCATATATGACTTTTAATATCGTCTGTCTAGCAAAGGGAAGACCTCCTGTCACAGTTCTCCAAACTTTCCTGAATCGAATGAGTCCTCAATTAATTGCTGTGTTCCAATTTATCTACTTTTTTTTACAAACGTTTTACTGTGAGTTTGTGGGAGGTTTACGATGCAGATCACCGCTTTTACATTCAACAACTCGCACCCTGTTGGCTTCATCTCACTCATTGCAACCCCCTTCTGTTAGTCTGGGTAGACTAGAGAAACAAATTCGTAAATATGTATATGTATATAAGAAAGAGATTTATATAGGATCACAGGTCAGCAGTTTGAAACTACCAAGGGAGAAAGACAGGACTTTCTACTCCCA